TACCCATGCTTTACCTTGCTGACAAGTAAATTTGAAATTCGATTATTGAACTTTTGAATGAATATATTTTAAAATCAATTATTCAAGATGACGACCATATTCTGGTCGTGCGGTACATGCTCTGTATAATAGTATTGATGTCAGACATACAAGTGCTACCTAATTGACCTAGGTTTTATAATAGATGAAAAACTATCATGGAATCCCCATGTTGATGAAAATTATTAAAAAATCAAACAAAGCATTAGGGTTTAGTAAAAGAAATTTCTTCAAATTAAATAAGAACATAAAACTTATATTTTATTTAACTTTGGTGGTTAAGCCAATAATAGAGTATGCATCTTCTGTTTGGGACCCCTCAACTCAAGAAAACGTTAAGGCATTACAACAGACACAAAATAGATCAGTGAGATTCATAACAAACGAGAATTCACAATTGATAAGAGTAACAATTTTAGTAAAATCATTAGATTTTAAAGACCCTTTAGGATAGAGAACTAAAAAGTAAAATAACAATAATACATATGAACCATAATTTTGAAATAAAAAAAAAACTTAAAAAATAATAAGAAAGACTAAAAAGTTAAAGGTGTATTACTTATTCCATATGCCAGGACATATTTGTACAAATACTCCTTCTGCCCTAGTAGACCTACTGTTAGGGCATGGAATGCGTTGCCTGAGTCAGCCAGGAAAACCAGTGACTTGGCAGAGTTTAAGTTCATCGATTAATATGCATGACTAGATTGAGCTAGGGACACCCGTAGGATATAATCACCTTTTTTTGAAGTAACGTCGGTATCTTATAAGATAAGATAATTAAGAAGGACCATTCAAAGCCTTACTAACTATTTGCTGAAAGCTCAGTGTTGAAAGGACGTAGAAAATTGTGTTCTATTTGAATGTGTCATGTGTTAGAAACATGCACATCTGCAGCAATGACTTTGTTTTCTATTGAGTTGCTGAGTCGTGATTGGCTGAACGAAAGAAGAAAAAAAATTACTTTTACACTCTGGCCGTCGTCTTGATGATCCCAGGTTCAAACCCTGCCCGCCGCCAGCCATCCCTACTCCTCCTGAGGGAGATTTCATTATTTTCATTTCTGAAGTAACATCTGAAACATGTAAACAATAAATGAAAACGATCACCAGTATAAAAATTCATTCCTTAGTTTTAGCCTGGGCTGACAAATACCACAATCTTTTATCCATATCCTTTCGCCCTGACCACAAATAATCCAGAATCAATATTCTTGCGCCTGAATAGACGCGATGTTATCTAACAATGACCATGTTCTTTGTAAACATTTTTTTATACCGAAGATTTTGTCGCGACAAGTGATGACCTTTCAGCAGCAGACGAGACTCAAGGCAGTAATTACTTGCCTGGGATAGAATCGACTCAACAACCACCGGCTTCTACGATTACTAATTTACTAAAAGTAATTCATCGTTGACATTCTATTTTTTTTTCTCTTGTGAAATTGTCTTCTTAGAGTCTAGTGCAAGCACATCATAGATTACACTAGAGTCAGGGGTCGGCAAAGTGGGCCTTGCTCTTGAATACATGCTAAGTACGACTTTTAAAGTATACTTTGAATGCATGCTGCCACAAGTGTGAATTTTCAGACACCATAAAATGTCGCTGGCACTTCTGACATCATAAATATCACTGGGTTGAAGTTTGGATGTAGGCATGGTGACATTGGGTTCATATTATACACTTCTATTGTAGGCGTTGTCAGGATGAATACTTCATACGTTCATACATCTCTCGTAAATGAGGAAATAACTCATTATGTAGCAGACACAAATATTATGTTTAATATATATAATAATGATAATAACAACACATATGGAATATGATACAATCCACGAATATCCAATAATAATCCTTTATAAAAATACACATGCATTTTTTTATTTTTTTATTTTATTTTAAAATTGAATTTCAAATATTTATGAACAAAAAGCTGCCCCCTCAGCCTGGGGGTCAGTCAGTCGCTCACATTGCGTAACTCATATTATGAATCGCATTTTAACAGTGAGCTCTAATTCTATAATAACAAGATTACAAAGACAGTTTGTGTGGAAACACAAACTCAAAATCGGCCCCCGAAGTGGTCCACCCAGGCAGGCTTCAATATTTTCAGAAAGAACATCCCAATGAAATATATCAAAGACAAATGAGAGATAAGAATGGAGAAAGAAGGTTGACAGATCTTGTGTAGTGCCCCAACGGTACAGCTGATCAAAGGATAGGTGCAAGTGATTGCAAAGTTAGATGTGAACCTGGCCTAACTAGTTCCCCTTTCAGACCTTGTGGTCTATAGGGCAGATGATGTAAAGTTCATCAGTTTTTGTGGCCTACGGTTAACGAGGGTGTCATGTAGCCAGCACAACGACCAACCGCGTTTACTTTTCCCCAACTAATATCAGGTACCCATTGGAGCTGGGTGGACTCAGAGGCGCCTAAGGATTCCGAAGTAGAAAATCCCAGTCTTCACCAGGATTCGAACCCGGGGCCCCTGGTTCGGAAGGCAAGCACTTTACCCCTTAGCTACCGCGCCTCTCCTGGCCTAACTGAAGTCTTTTAATTGATCTAATTGTTTTGAAAAGGTTCAATCTCTTGTTTTAATCTGATGCTTCCCTATTGAAAAAATTCACGAAATGACGTTTACAAGATTACTATTCGTTTAAAATTAGGTCTAACTTATGCATACTAATTAGCTTTTTCTCTTAAAAAACTACTTGCATAACTGATTTTAAAAATTAGATTTTTCGCTTTCAGAAAAAAAAAAGTAGCCGTTGCATCAGAACTTTGAATGGTCTAAAATATTGTGATGTCGGATTTTCAATATCTTTTCTAGTTTACGAGATCTAAACGGGACGGATGGACAGACATTTCGCACAAAACTAATAGCGTCTTTTTCCCTTTCGGGGGCCGCTAATAATGCTAATAATAATAATTATAGAAATAAAATGGATGGACAGAATTGGCACTGGCTTTACAATGCAACCTGGTACACAAATGGCGTTCCAGATTCTTCATCTTCTAGCCAGCTTTTTGCTGCTGAGCTGTTGAGTTTTTTTTGCAGACTGTGCCAAGGAAAAAAAGTGTGCTGTTTTCTTCAGTTGTTCAGCACTGCCGTACAGGGTGTTGGTTATGTTGGGCTGTAGTGGAAGTAGGGTCTGTCTAAGGTGGATTAGGAGTTGTGTGGAATTTATTTTGTTAAGATGGTAATTTAACAGAGGTGTGTGTCCTGTTCTTAGTTGGAAGATTGTAGATTGCTCTATGCGGGGGAGGAAGTTAATACTGTCCCGTTTGTTAGGCATAGTCATTTCTTTATACATGGCTCTGCCTGTGTTTCCTGATGCCCATTGGTTGAGTCTTTGTGATTGTTGACTAACATTGGCCTTAGGGTGAGGAAGATAACAGGTCTATCTGGGTTTTCCATATATGATCCTGCCTTGGAAAGTTTATCTGCATTCCATATATATCTTAAGTTCAAAGGCTAGTGAATAGGAAAGTGCCAACGTTCTAAAGTTCCATCCTTTATGGCTCCCAGTGAGGTATGGGGCAGTCAGATTACTTCGTCGTAGAACTCTGTTCTGGTCACACAGCCCTCAGTTGGGTACATGTCCATCCAGCCATAGAAAAACGGTAGCATCTTGAAAAGTCTACAAGGGACGCTACAAAGGAAGACAGGGCGAAACATCTGTGATCTTTAAACATTTTTACAGTTCATTATTTACATTAGTTCACAATTTATTGTTCCTAGTTCATAGTTCATTATTTATTGTTCGTAGTTCTTAGTTAATTTAAATTTATTGAAGTTGCTGATACTTTTAAACTAGTAATACTCCTGCCTTGCTATATAGGTATTTACATAACTTACGCCTGTGATTTAAAAAAAAATGTTGACTAATTTGTATTGTATAAACTACCGACGCTCATTTATAAGAAAAGATAATTGCGTCCCAATGTGTTAATTAGAGACATATCTTCTGCTGAGTAATTGTTTTTCCTGAATGATTCAGGCAAGCCGTTGAACGCTATAATGGTACTAGGGAAGAAGACATGTAGAAGCATAAGGAATCAGCAATGTAGTTTTATCTTTGTGTCTTTCTGGGTTAAAAAAAAAATAGATTTGTGATTTTTAGCGCTCCCGAAAGAGGCTATTAGTTTTGTGTGGTCTGTCTGTCCGTCCGTCCGTCCGACGCAGAGGAAAGAACTTGTAGAAGACAAGCGCAGAAAACGCAACAAAAACATGAACAGACTCCGGCGAACAACAACTTTGTCTTCATGAGTAGAGGGAAAATATGCAGGTCGCATAGAACTAGAACGATTAGAACTAGGAAAGCTTGCGAAATACTCAAGCTATCGTTCAGTATGTCACAGGATTCGACTCTTTTAGTATCGTTCAGTATGTCACAGTATTGGACTCTTTTAGTATCGTTCAGTATGTCACAGTATTCGACTCTTTTAGTATCGTTCAGTATATCACAGTATTCGACATTTTTAGTATCGTTCAGTGTCACAGTATTCGACACATTTCACCAAGAACGTATTATTTCATTCCTTCCTCATTAAAAATGTAAGATGCTATTTAATCGAATTTGTTCATAAGTATACAACCAGGTCTGGAAGAAACCAATCCATTTTGCATTATTTAAAATTTGTGTAGAAGAACGCCCACCGGCACAGACACACACACACTCACACACACTCACATGTGTATTCAGTCACATGAACACAAAGCCAATTAATGCCACGCATATGAAATAGAGTGAGCCACGAAAGAAAAACATCTGGCAAGAGATTGTAAATGGATTTATCCAGAGGGATTAGTTCATGGATTAACTGGCTATTAGCTGGGGCGGTCAAAGTTTATCGGACTCCTCGGATCACGTGTCTTAACACGTGAACTTTACAGTGACCCAGGTAATTATGACATTTTAATGTGATTTACATAAATTATAATTGTTTCTATATCAACCACGTCGGTGGTGTAAAGGTTAGCACGGTTGCCTTCCAAGTTGTCGATCCGAGTTCGATTCCCGGCTGACGCCTATTTTTCTTTGTATTTTTTTTTTAACTTCACTTCACACTACAAAATAAAAATATTAGACCCTTACTAACAAATATTTGGCGCGTACAAAAAAGTAGGATTAATTCTATGTGTTTATTTAAGTGCAGGTTTTCTATAGCCTCAATCACGTGATAATAAAATCAAAGTCTAGAGTTCGATGTAGGATAAGATGAAAGACATTAAACATCTCTCTCTGTACCTATTTCTTATCTCTCTCTATCTCTGTACCCTTTTCTACACTCACTCTCTTTGTACCTCTTTCTACTCTTTCTCTCTCTCTCTCACTCTCTCTCTATCTCTGTACCTCTTTCTACCTCTTTCTGCTCTTTATCTCTTTACCTGTTTCTATTCTCCCTATCTATCTCTGTGCCTCTCTCTACCTCTTTCTACTCTCTCTTTATCTCTCTTTCTCTCTGTACCTCTTTCTACTCACTTTCTCTTTCATCTGTCTTTAAATCTTTTCTCTCTCTCTCTTTTCTACTTTTTCCCTTCTCCTTTTCTCTTTTTGTTTTTTTTATCCTAATTCTCTTTCTCTCTCTTTTTCTATATTTTTTTCTCTATTCATTCTCTCTTTTTCTGTTATCGTCCACCTCTCTCTAATATAACTATTTTAATTCAGCCCCTTTTTAATTATTAAAAATAATTTATATAAAAAATCACCCTTTAAGTGCATGTTATTAGCAGTGCCACGCACTCAGCGATTAGTTTCAGGAAGGAAAACAAAACCCAGCAAAAATTAACAACCTTCACCTTAGCGCACGGTGTTGGGATTACAAAATGCTCATTTTAATTTTATCATGTTAAACTTTGGCATGGCGCTATTAATTTAGTGTGCAAACACAAGAACAGAAAAAAAAAAATGAAATCATAGTTTCTAATACACTGTCATTATCGGATTATCCCCTCCTATATCAGGTCTTTTCTTTTTTTCTTTGCTTAAGCCCCTTCCTCCTTTCCCCTCTTAATCATAATGTGGAATTTAAAAAAATACTACAATGGATTAATATTAAAAATTCATCTTCTATAAGTATCTTTTAATTGTTATTATATAGTTAAATTAATCGCTATTAATACTATGTTATGGTTTGTCCCCCCTGACGATGATTTGAAAGCTATTAAAAACATAAATAATGAAAGGTGCTTCTCGATTGTCATGTAGATGGCTGTCCAAGAGGTAAACACAACGATAATGCACTTGCTTGTTTATTATCTTTACCCGTCAGCCCTTGCTCTTGATACTTCAGAAACTGAGTTGTTTTGTTGTTGTTTAATTTATTGGTCACATGTTAAGACGATAAGTGCATGGCAAAATGTTTATATAAACTCCCATACAAGCGACGTGACGTCACTATTTTTGAACTTGATTAATTTTACTATAACGGTTAAAAATAGCTCAGAGATTTTCAAACTACCTAGAGGAAATTGAAACTACACGAAAGCATAGAGTATTGCAAATACTAGTAAAATACTATAAAGGGTAAGATGAGAAAAGTTCCCCTTTCAGACCTTGCGATCTATTGGGCAGATGTCGTAAAGTCATCTGTTTCTGTACCCTAAGGTTAAAGAGGGTGGCATGTGGCCAGCACAACGACCAAACGCCTTTACTTTTCCCCAACTAATGTCAGGTACCCTTAAACTCAGAGGCTCCCAATGATCACGAGATTAAAAATCCCAGTCTTCACTAGGATTCGAACCCGGTTCGGAAGCCAAGCGCTTTATTACTCAGCCACCGCGACTCATGGAAGATGAGAATCTCTTGATGTTGTTTCGTTTCGAAACTTAATGTTCGTAGATTTGGCTCCTTGTTACACAGCCAGTGTTCCTGGGCCTGTGTGTTCTTGAACCTCTGTTCCTGAGCCTGTGTTCCTGAGCCTGTTTAGTTAGATGGTCGTATCAGTGAACCCCTTTAGTAACTAACATGCAGAAATAACTTCCTTTGAGCACGAGAAAGAAATCGGGCAACGAATAGTAGGGTCGCTTTGTTCCCGTACAAGGACAGCCTCGTTGTCAAACATGGACCAGTTCTCTCTCTCATCTGGATGTCCCATTCGTTCAAAACGCGTCATTCATAAAAAATGTGGACAACTGTTTCATCGTTCTCTAGGCAACGGTGAGACCGTGTGTAGTGTTCTTTAAACCGCTCGAAGTAAGCTCCTACCTCCTTGAACAAGAGCTCCAAGTCAATGTCTATGTAAAACATTACTATTTCCGATATATCCGGCACTCCGGGCGCATGGACTAGAATGCATGGCTGAAGGCCGAGCACACCGGGAACCCCCGTCATTTTCATATATTGTACCCAGCTAACGTGCAGGATTCGCCATTAGTGTAACGGTTCCTTGAGGAACGCGCATGGATTATCGACAGGGACTGGAAGCTTTCTTTCAACTCCGCACCGTGCAATGGGAAAGCTCTCGCATTCCATTGCACACTCCCACAGGAGTTTTGTTTTGCTATTCATTTAGCGATCGTTTCCACCCGAGTGCCACGTTGAGGCAGAATAGCGTACACGGGCTGAGTTGCCACTAAGGCATCCTTTCGGTCTGGCTACTCATGCGCCTTCAGAGCTCACGTCCTGTGTCCGAATCATCCCAACTTCCACACCAAAATGCCAGCGGTCGGTTATCAGCTAGTGATCGCATTATTTCTTACTTTTGCAGTGCAACATTTAAGAATGCCGTATGAACCGCGGTTTTCGCTAAAAAAAATAGCAGTGTTTTTGACCGACCAGACCATAATGGGCGGACCCCCACTAAATTTAGTTTTCATAAATTTCCCTCATCGTTTCACAGCCTGTGTTCCTGAACTTCATTGGATAGATTCAGTGTTTCCCAAACTTTTTTTTATTCGTACCCTTCTAGAATTTTCGTAACTCTGAGCACCCTTCGTCCCCCCCCCCAAAAAAAAAATTTTTTTACATATACATTCATTTTTTTTTGTAGGTTTACATACACACAATCATTACTCTATCACAATACAAGTATATAATTACTGAGTTTATTTTTTCCATGCTTCACATTAAATATATTCCTATGTGATGTTCAAGGAAAGTTGGAGGGCGACAATTATGTACCTTGCCTCGGGCGCACGTTTCTCTTACTACGCCTCTGCCAACTAACCTCCATTAAAGAACCTAATCAAATCGCGAATTAGCATCAAACTCAAGTGGGAGAAGTTGTTACAACATGACACCATCCCAATCACTAAGAATATAGTTTTGCTTAAGGCAGTACACGTCTAGGTCAGTAAGATGTAGGGAAAATATTAGCCATGTAATATAGACCTCATGCTTGTGCTGACATTTAAATGTCAAATGACAAAGGAAGTGTTCAGTGTTTCATGTGTTTAATGATTTTTCTTTTCAAAGAAATGTTGGACATTTGAGTTTAAAACTTGTTTTAAAATTACAAGCTAAGAGCATCTTATATAATATTATTACATTTTTCATTTCACCAAGCACATTTATTAAGATATTATCAGTGGCAATAATATTACAGCAATAATATAAATGTAGATTACATCTTAAATCAGTAAAGCTAACACTATAAATAAATTATTAAAAAGATAATATCAGATGAGATATTTTTAAAAAATCAGTGGAGATAACTTGAAATGTGTTATATACATGTCGATCACTGTACAAAGATAATATCAGTCGAGAAAACAAAAGCTCATAAATTGTAATTAGCCGAACATTATTTCCATTGCTCAAAAATCAATGCTGCATCAAATTACAGTTGGTTGCGGATAGAGTTTGTCATTTTAAGCGAGAATTAAACAACAAATTAGTCAGCTGAGAGACATGGGTTCCTCAAGTTAGAAATTTAGTGTAATAACTATCTTCTTACCACAATTAGAGGCACATTGGCTGAGTGGTTAAGCGCTTGGCTTCCGAACCTGGGGTCCTGAGTTCGACTCTCGGTGACGACTGGGATTTTAAATTCAGGAATTTTCAGAACGCCCCTGAGGTCACCTAACTCTTATTGCTGCCTGAATTTAGTTGGGCAAAGTAATGGCGGTTGGTCGTTGTGTTGGCCACATGATACCCTGCTCTTTAACCGCTGGCAAAAGAAACAGATGACCTTAATATCACCGCCCTATAGATCGCAAGGTATGAAAGAGGAACTTTACTAGACCACAATTGATTATATTGTAGAAGTGGAACAGAAATAAGAACAAATCATTCTTAAACATCCGAAAAACAAAGTTTTATATTCCAGTTGTATTTGCAGTGGTTCTCGGAGCCATAGCGGTTGTTGTATAGGCAATGTTGTTTAATTATCTGTTATCTGTTTGAAGTAGCTGTTGTGTCGGCCTAGCAAAAGTCGATGTTTTAGGGCCAATGGAAACACGTTTAGTTTAGTTCACTTTAAAGGGAATAAAATTGTATACATAACTAAAAACAAATTTAGTCAAGGAGTTTACAAAAAAATAATCAAAATTTTTTTCTTTACGTTTTGAAAGAAGAAAAAACAAAAGAAAATAGCAAAGAGAGTTTAACATAAACTCAGAGACGACACTCACCGGGTTTGTCTATAGGAAAGAATACGTAAGTCATAGACGTGTTTTGATTGGCTAAATAATCGAATTTCAAAGAATCATTGGCGGTTGTTTTTCCTTGGAAATAAACAGAAACACCTATTATACAATAATATGACTTGTTGACTTTTTGGTAAGAAAACAAACTACAATACAAAACAGAAGAGTGATTTCAAAGAATTATTTAGCGTTATTTTTCACTTCAAAACAAACAAAACAACCTAATACCGATAATGATTTTTTTTTGTGCTTATATTACAATAAATTTTATTAAGTTGTCATTGGTTTATGGTTACTTTTATTTAAAAAAATTTTTTTTTCACTAAACACGAAATCAACTTTCAACAGCTTTGCAGCTTTTCTAGTTTTTTTTCGGAAGACGTGACCTACCGTCAGACAGACGTTCATAACTAATAACGACTTTTCATCGTACAGGCACCA